ATAATGAATGGCTCGACTTGTTCCTCTAAAATATTGTCCAGTTCCCACATTCTCTTTTCAACTTTGTCTTTCACGTGCTTAATACAGTTTTCCCATTTTTGCGCTGTTATTAATTCTAGTGCTTCTTTGAAAAGTCCTTTGAGGTCACAAAATTTAAACATGATTAAGATAACAAACGAAAACGTCCAAAGAAATATCAAATTGCAATGATGCACACGACATACGTAACACGTCTGAACCTGAATGTGACTCTGCCTTGATACGACTGCTCTGCCGCTCGGCATAGGCATTTAATTGCGAATTGACCAATGAGGGCTCCTGTTTTACGTCGAGACGGCGGCGTTAGCGTGAAAATCACCCGAACCTTTTGTTTACATCCGGTCTATCTCTTATCTGAATATACTGTAGAGATATTCAGAACAACGAATACATATTGACAACTGACACACATTGACGGATTTGTCAACGACAGTGGACAGCGCCGTATGTCATTATAGTTTTTTGTACACTACGGATTCATTTTGTACTTGCTACCACCTATTTTATTTAGAAAAGCTCCCTTGCATTCAAAAAAAAAATAAGCACGGTTCTGAGTTTTACCACATTTACACCTGATTCATTGTTTGCAGACTAATACAAAGATGTCACTTGCTGATCAGCCGTCCACCTCAGTAGATGTCAAAACGTAATGGATACTCGTGAAATTGCTTATTGTACTAGAAGTGTAGAGTAAATCTCCTTGACGCAATTTTCTTTCATAACCTTAATGACGAAATCTCACCATTTCAAATATTTGGTAGTCCGGTTCCAGTAATAACTTTATTTTCATATGTTTGACTAAAAATACAAACATCACATTCTTTTTCCATTCCTGATATGCAAACTTATCTCAAAAGCAAAGTTTCATTATTTTAACTAACTTCGCAGTGCTACAAGACCTGTTCTAATATCTTTCTATCAATGCGACAAGAAGTTATATTTGTTTCAAATATCTAAATACTTTTTTCCTTATCTACTGAATTCAAATTCTGGGTGAAATATTTTGAAAAACCTGTTCAATATCTACCGCTGAATATTTACATACTTTCCCTCACCAGTTCTCTGTATACAGAGTGTTTCATACTTGAAGAGACATAGTGAAAATAATAAATTATAGTTTCCGAAACTTAAAAAAAAACACGACTTAATTGCAAATAGGTATAGGTTTGTGATACTGCAATAGAGAGTCCAAAAATAAAATGTGATTAATTAATTTGGAATAAGATCATTATAAAAATCAAAATACTAACAAAAAGACAATTTTAAAAAAAGTGTGGGGTGCTTGATATTAAATGTTAGACTTATTTTTTTAGTTGCTATTTACAAAATTGGTCTTATTATGAAGATATAGTTAATTACACCCCTATCTTTTTTACTGTAACTGAATTTTTTGTTAATATCTCAGTTTTTATATTAATCTTATTCCAATTAGTTTTACTTGATTTTTCGACTTTCTATTGCAATAACTCAAAGTCTCCCCTCTCCTCTTTTCAAGCTATAATTTATTTTCAGATTTTTTTCTCAAAACGACATCAAAAGTACTTACAATCAAGAGCTTCCATCTTTCATATATTTTTTTCAAATTTAAAAGTTTCCAACATTCCTTAAAAAATTCAAAATCTTTGAAAATTTCCAAATTCTCAAATTATTTTACAGATTTCCAAGTTTTACAATTATTTATCAAATTTTTAAATCCAACATTGTTTCCAAATGTCAAAATATACTAAGTGACAACACCCAGTTTAAATGGTTTTATTTTAATAAATGATAAAAATTTCAAAATGATTGCACTGCTTTAAAGCCCTTGGACCTTTAATAATGTGTGGATGCACCCTGATGCGCTACGCATTCTCCAACGCGCCTAGGCATGCTTCTGATCAGGTGGTCAATGTCTCCTGTGGTATCTGATTCCAGGCAACCACCAACTCCTCTCGAAGTGCTTCTAGAGTCTGAGGAGGACGTTGCAAATTGAGCAATCTCCTACCCATCATATCCCACACGTGTTCAATTGGGGATAAGTCGGGAGATCTTGGTGGCCATGGTAACAATGTGACATCATTATGTTGAAAGAAGTCTATTGTGACTCTTGCAACATGTGGTCGGGCATTATCTTGTTGGAAAGTTGGGTGTCAAGATAGGGTAAAAGATGGTTCTCTAGAACTTCGTTGATATAACGCTGCGCGTTCATGTTACCTCTGATGAAGATTAAAGGTGACCTGGAACCATAAGCTATAGCACCCCAAACCATAACTCCAACAGTGTGATGAACATGTCTTTCAACAAAAAACTGTGGATTTCTCCTTTCACCACGTCGCCTTCTAACCCTTACACCGCCTTGAGTGGTGCAGACAACGGTCACTCTGGGATCAGGAATGGAACAGTATTGTCTTTAGTGACGAGTCTCGATTTTGTTTAGGCATGCACGGTGGTCGTGCCAGGGTTAGAAGGCGACGTGGTGAAAGGAAGAATCCACAGTTTTTTGTTGAAAGACATGTTCATCACACTGTTGGAGTTATGGTTTGGGGTGCTATAGCTTATGGTTCCAGGTCACCTTTAATCTTCATCAGAGGTAACATGAACGCGCAGCGTTATGTCAACGAAGTTCTAGAGAACCATCTTTTACCCTATCTTGACACCCAACTTTCCAACAAGCTAATGCCCGACCACATGTTGCAAGAGTCACAATAGACTTCTTTCAACATAATGATGTCACATTGTTACCATGGCCACCAAGATCTCCCGACTTATCCCCAATTGAGCACGAGTGGGATATGATGGGTAGGAGATTGCTCAATTTGAAACGTCCTCCTCAGACTCTAGAAGCACTTCGAGAGGAGTTGGTGGTTGCCTGGAATGAGATACCACAGGAGGACATTGACCACCTGATCAGAAGCATGCCTAGGCGCGTTGGAGAATGCGTAGCACATCAGGGTGCATCCACACATTATTAAAGGTCAAAGGGCTTTAAAGCAGTGCAATCATTTTGAAATTTTTATCATTTACTTATTATGCTTCATTAAGTACTTATACAAAATTTTATTAAAATAAAACCATTTAAACTGGGTGTTTGGATTTATATGTCACTTAGTATACAATTCTTTAAAAAATTTTCAAATTCTCAAATTATTTTACAGATTTCCAAGTTTTACAATGATTTTTTAAAATTTCAAATCCAACATTGTTTCCAAATTCCAAAAACCAAATTTTTAAAAAATATTCAAATTCGATTTCTTTTTCAAAATTATTGTATTGTACCGGCTCTTGGCCCCCGTGCAAATTTTCAAGATAATCATACTTCTTGAAATTGATGAAAAATTAAGTTAAAAGTCCGTTGCGTACAGGTTTAGCCAATAATAAAAGCGTATTAAAAACGGTCTAAATTCGGTGTTTACGAATATGCACGGTGATTTATCTTGTCACGCCAAATCTTTAATATCAGATATCTCAGGCACTGCTGAATTGATTTTTTAAAGTATGCACTATAAAAAGTAACCTAGGAATAACGTAAAACTAGACAGACCGTTAAAAAATCCAGGGCCGGACTGGATTTTTTCACGTTTCTGCTTCTTTACCTTTTAAGTTGACTATTGAAATGTTTGAATATGTTCGAAAAAATCCAATGAACGGTGTTAGTTGATTAGCAAAATAGACTGATTGCGACTATTTTAGTTTTTCAGCAAGACATTTCGATTTATCTTATTTTTAGCAATTCATGTGACACAAAACATTTTAAGGGCTATCAACTTGGTTTCATCAATATTTTCCAAAATAATGTTTAAATCAAACGAAAGATGTTACGGAATCTCATAAATCCAGGGTCAAATTTTGTTCTTTATTGTTATATCGCAGAAAATAATACAATACAAAAAATGAATAGGGGGGAATATTAATGTTCTGCTTAAAAGGGAAACTGCATTAAATGTGCGATTCCACCAAAATGTCTTTACTCCTTTGCCTTCAAACTAACTTCCAAAAACTAACAAAATTACATATTATTAATTTTTCCCTTTATGTTACATGTTGCTTTTTTTCTACGAAAAAATAATAAATTTAAATTGTAACTTACACTTAGTAAAATGTAAGAAAATAAAAAACTGAATCCAGTCCTGTAATTTTGAGTTCCTTAATGATTAATCCTGAAAAAAATTAAGTAGTCGAATCATTCAAATATATGTGTATGTGGATAGTAAACTACTATTTCAAGAGTATTATAAATTCATTATTTAAAAAAATATCAAAAAAGATAAATTATTCCAAAAGGACTGTGTATAACCTTATAATTTTTCCCCATTTTTCATATTGTTCAGCCATCTTGCTTACATCAAATGAAAACATATCAACAATCATTTTAAATAAAAAGAAATATGCTAGGATCAAGTCTATAATACAGGAACTGTAGTTAAATATAAAAAATTTCATATGTTATTTAGCTCCCATTTTTATATTCAAATTAAAAAATCATTTATTACTACCACATTTAGAGAACTTTACAAAATTAAATAGTCATTAGTCAGTACAGATTTTCAACTGTAAAGTTGTAATAGTAGCATAAATAGCAAATCTGTATTTCAAAAGGAAGTATTTGAATTTAATAAATTGAATGATGTTATTAAACAATGTTCTAATTTAAAAATGTTCAAGGTAAAAATAAAAAATCACTCTATGAATACTAAAAATGCATAGCAATGTAATTTTGATAGACAAGAATGTGAAATTACAGTAAATAGATTAAAAAAAATGTGTAAACGAATAGTTATATAAAACTGACATTGTAGCATTAACGGTAAATAAATCATCAAATTAACAAACAAACAAAATATCTTTAGTTCAATTTAGAGATTCATTTTGTTAAATGTTGATAGAGCCCGAATTTTTTGTTTTAAACTGCTAAAAATAATATTTTTGAATAAATAAACAAGTTTAAATAAAAAATTAATCGAAGCGCAATCAATCTATTTTACCAAGTAATTAGCATCATTAATTATTTTTTGTACTCGGTCAAGCCTCTCAATATTAAGCTAGAAATGTGTTGATTTCGATGAAAATAAAAAAAAAAACAAAAAAAAATCGAGTCCATCTAGACATCTTTGACAACATTATTGCTTGAGATATGCTATACGAGGGCGGTTCAATAAGTACTTGTGTTAGAAATGAAGAAACCACTTTTTCCAAAAAATTACTTTTTATTTTTTAACATAATCCCCTTGCAGAAAGATTCACTTTTGCCAACGTTCCTGCCTTTTTTCAACCCCCGAAAAAATAGGATTTGTCGAACTCTCCAAAATACGCCTCTGTCTCGGCGATGACACCTGATTCACGAGCCCTTTGTACTACATTAACAAATGCACGAGGGGTTGGTTGCACTCGATTGAGAAACCGATCCGCATAAATCCGTGATGCCGCGACAGCATTTTGTAAAGACTCCCTCTCCGTAAATAAGAATCATGTTCACAAGTTCAGCATTTTCGTAAACATGTGCCATTTTTTATTTCGTTTGAGTCACGCAACAAACACCACTATTCACTCACGCGTTACCGACTGACACATTGACTGAATGCAACTGAATCAAATTGTAGTAAAAACATCGTGATAAGCGTTTCAAATTCTTTTGCTTTTTTGTCTCCTATGCGATGAACCGATACGGCGGATTATATCCGTTGTTGCCAAACACGAGTACATAATATTATTATTGAGACAGGGCGGTACTCAAACTTCTAAAGGGCTATAACTTTGTTACTTTAATTTTACCAGAAAAATGTTAAAGGAAAAAAACATATCTTTTGATCAGATCTACTCACTGTTAAAATAAATGACTCAACTTCGAAGTCACCCTGTATATACTACGTAGCGCTTCACTATATCCATTTACGTATGGAACTCAATGTATGTCAATAGTGAGTTACTTTTTTTAAGCAACAATAGTTACATTTTAAGACTTCAGATAACCTGAATATCATTTCAAATATTTATTGTACTGTGAACGATTTTAGAATAAAGGATCTTTGTATACGGTTCGCTATACGTCTTGGCTCCAAATCATCTGCAATCAGCTGAATAAATTGAATTCTTAGATAAATGATATGCACAACAAATCAGTAAAACAGGCCTTGCATCACAAGTTTCTCACTCACTAAAAGAATCTATCAGAAATATCCTTTTTACAATCGAAGTAACGCTGTCCTAAATTAGTGCTGTGTTAAACTTCCACGTTCGATAACCACAAAATCACAATCACAATTCACGAAATCACCGCCGTCTCACGGCGCTGCAGTCCTGTGTACCCTGTGAAGTATGACTTCCCCTGTGCTCAGGGTTGGTTCTGACGCGTCCGTGGGCAGGCACCTGCATTTAAGTATCCACTGCACCAGCACCGTCATCGTCATCGCGTCAGGAGGCAGATCGTCTTTCTGACCTTCCAGGAAAGTGTCCGCCCACAAGTCCGCTCCGGGCTCCAGGATCTCGGGGAGCAGGTCGCCGGGATTCTCGGATGGATCAGTACCTAGAAAAAAATCTATAGTGTATTTACACCCAAGATAGAATGGATGCGTGATTGCCAAAAGCAAGGGCGGCGTACAGGGCCGCATTCAGGGCTACCTCCGATTGATGGACTACCACCAACGTGTTGTAAAACAAAGATGACAGTATTTAACAGAAACAAATTACTCAAATACACTTAACAGCAACAACTAAGCAAGGTGAATACGAAAACACGAGCACGTAGTGATACACGCGACGGACGGTGGACTGAGTGCAACTCTGCCTGCCCTGCCCCTGCCCCGCGCATTATTCCGAAAGGCGGCCGCTTGAAATTTAATGGCGAATTGACCAATAAGAGGCGTTGTTCCCACCTGTTACCGAGAGATCACGCGCTAACTGTTATTATTTACATCTCATCTTGAATTTGGATTCAGTTTAGTTGTCAGTAGTTATACAGGTGTCCGCAAAGTTGGGGTTTTCCTTTTCAGAAACAATCTTGAAATAACAAAGGTAATGTGTAGTGAAACGAGGGCGATCAAGTAAAAAAAAAATAAAGGAAAAAGTACTTACTCTCCAGTTGACGAGAAGGGCTAAGTACGTCTCTGCCCGAAATCATACCGCTCCAACAGAAAATGGAATCAGCTGATGCGAGCAGGCAAACAAGGAAGGCAAAATGTTGCGTAAAAAGTCTAGGTATTGCATCCCGTCCAATCGATTTGGAAGAATAAATGATTCAATGAGCATACCGTTCACCATGCCAGCCCAAACATTCACCGAAAATGTTTGTTGAAAATGTGCCCGACGGACAGCGTGCGGATTTTCTACTGACCAAACATGAGTGTTACGAAAGTTATTCACCCTATTACGCGTGAACGTAGATTCGTCTGTCACTAATATGCACTTCAAAAAGTCCGGATTATTGTCATGTTGATGCAACAACCACTCATAAAACCGCAGTCTTGCTGGAAAATCGTCAGGTTGAAGGACTTGTACACGTTGGACGTGAAACGGATACAGCCCCTCTTCACGCAGCGTTTGCCACACTTTAGTTTTTGATACTTGCACTTCTCTAGCCACGTCTCTAGTGCTTGTTGTTTGTTGAAACGCAATCGATTATACGGGTTCGTTTACCTGTACACGCGTGACCGTAACCGTCGGTTGAAGGTTGCATACTGACCTGACAAACGATATTCAGATATTTTTGATGTTGCAGAGCGCTTTATCTCGGTTCCCTTAAGACATTGGTGTATATGGTACTAAGAAAAATTGCTTATGTTTTCAAGATCTACACGTCGTGTAAAGGAAAACCCCAACTTTGCGGACACCTTTTATCAATAATAAACAAATCCTGAGCATCAGTTGTTACTGTTTTCCTTATTGTCCAATGATTTGAGTAGGATTTGTCGTACATCACACGATTTTTTACATTTCACTTCTTATTCCCATTTATTATTGTTGCCTCAGTAATTATCCACTTATTTTTTCTTTATCAAACACGGTCTAATTATCCACTAGGTACAAAAAGACAGTATTTCACTCCACCTGCCCGACATCGAAATTAGTGTGGAATTGCAAAGACGCTCTCGGTGGCATATGAGACAGTTGACACTCTGGCAAAGAGTGGGGCTAGCACTGGCGCTCCCACCGGGAGAGGGAAGGTAAAGAGAAATTCCCCCCCGCCCCAGACGACTCGAGCAGTCTTTGAAAAGTAAACGACTTATAAAAAAATCTGTAACTTTAAGAAAGGATAGCGGCAACACTGCCAACGCGCTCAGTGCGCATGCGACTAGCGATTATTCTCCCACTAACAGTAACGGTGTGCGCTTCTTCCTGTTGGAACAGGTATAGTCTGGTCTTTTATGGTCTAGTCTAGTGTCTAAATTCTGTACCAGTTCGGAGTCCGCAAAAACATTTGGCTGAGAAGTGAACAAGCGGAGTTTTGTTGATCTGGTTAGTATTAACGCTATTTTATTGATTTTTTATTTTCCACGCATAAGCCAGAAATTTAATTTTTGTTTGTTTTTAATTTTTATACTGTGAAAGATCCGTGACTAAAAAGTGGAAATTTAATATCATTCCAATTACGAAGTGTACGGTCCATATGGAAAGATTCTTTGATTGATGGGGACGTTGCCTTACCTCCACATAAAAATTCAACTTTGACGGTGGTGCTCAGTGTAGGTTGGCAATAGATGCCTGGTAAAGGACATACACCGCAGTACTTCGGTCGATATCTTTTTTTGCTTCTGCACGGTCCAAATCGGAGAAACACCGCTGTACTCAAGCGATGCGTAGCCTTACATTCATGACCACGCTGCAACAAATAAATAAATAAGTGAGTATGTTGGCAATGTGAATAAATTTGACTGTGGAGGAAGTTGGGTTATAACAATTTGTGCAAGAAATGCTGACTACAAAGGTCCGTACTTCCCAGTAAACATGAAAAGGTATTAATTTTAACAAAGTAATCTTCCAAAAACGCTCAGACCCGTCGATTTTGTTTTCGAGGAGGACACAAGTTTGTCAAAAAATCACGTTAGCACGTACAGCCCCATAAGCGGGGGTGACACCAACCCTAAAATCTTAAATGTAAAAGGGAGTCGAGTGATACCTTATTCTAAAAATCTTTCAATTCCCTTTATAATGATGTAAAATACATTAGCTTCAGTTCAGTAGTTTTGAAGATTTATTGATTTAAAGCTTAAAGTAGACTTTAAAAGGTACATCAGATTAGTTTGTATTACTTTCAGAGGAAAATTGACTAAAAGAATTTATTTAATAAGTAAATGCTTTTCTTCACTACGCCCATGGATTGTTTACCACTATGTTGTTGAAAATAGCTATTGGAGCGTTTTTTTTGTGGCAAAAAAGTTATTTCTTGAAGAAAGATAAGGAAATATTTCGTACTTATTTTAAAAAGGAATTTAGTACATAGTTTGCGATTGATTTGACCAAAATTTGTTGCTGAAATAACTTGTAACGCTTTATTACATAAATTAACCAGTCTCAGACCTGTGTGTCTTGTACGCAATGTAATGGTTCTTATGCCTCAAATAATTCGCTATTAAATTCATACTACCAGCAAACATACCACAATTTAATGAACCTCCTCATTCCGCAATTCATTCTCACCCTTATTTCCAAGCTCACATTTTTTTAGTCGGTGTGGCGGTATAACGAGGGAGCAGCGTCGCTGTCATAAAAATGAATATATAAATGACTCGTAAATCATAACAGCAACAAATCTCCATCAGGCCCTTTTTTATTACGAACTTGTCACTAAGACGGCGGTGGCACAGCCCTTATATTCCCAGGTGAGACTAAATGAACTTGTAACCCTCGCGAGGCTGATCCAACCGCGCAGCCTGTAACCACGGAGACACGTTTCTGCATATCCTTTAATTTATTCATTATCACACGAAATGTGCTTACACAAGTCAGTCGTATTAAAGTCAAAGAAAGGAGAAAGCAGATGATAAACAATACGTATAAACAACAACATAGTCTAATTATATTAAGTAAAGTAAAGGGGTATTTAAAACATTGACCCATAAAACGGGTACAACAATTTTTGTGGGAAAACTTTTTATTAGACAACAAAGAATGAGAAAAGGTGTTTTTTGGGATTCAATCGAAATTGTTGGCAGGAACGAAAAAACTTTTCACTCACTTTTTAGGTATTTATGAGACCTCCAAAATGAGGTACCACACGTAAAAAGATCCGACTAACAGCAAAAAAGTTATGGCTGAAAACCGATGGAAACTGCAGGTTTTGGCACTTGTTGATAATGCAACGATGATTTCACGCAGATGGTTGCAGTTCTTTAAATTCTTAGGATTCGTACTTCTTAATAACCACAACAAAAGTGGAGTAGATTGGTTATGTCGTTTTTGAGAATTTCTAATTGTTTATCCCAAAACACCTCTTTTCCGGCCATCACTACTAGTTTATTGAGCAATATACAGGGTTTGTTCAAAATACATTTTATAGCTAAATACACTTTTGCCTTGCCGATATAAATCGCAAACCATTCCGAAAAATAAATGTTATTTTTATGCAAAAAGGATGGCTTACGTTTTTCTTCTAAACAAATTCAAACATTTCGTATTTAAAGATGATAGACACATCCGCTTTGTTTTAAAATGTGTATATTAACGTATGTTTTCCGAATATCGTAGCGCATTTGTTCAATTATACGCAAATACGAAATGTTTGAATTCGTTTAGAAGAAAAGAACGTAACCTTTGTTTTTCGCATAAAAATAACATTTATCTTTCGGAATAGTTTGTGATTCATATCGGCAAGGTAAACACGAGTATTTTGCTATTATGGCAGGAAAACAGGTGTTTTGTGATAATAATAATAATAATAATAATAATAATAATAATAATAATAATAATAATAATGTCTTTATTCCCACAAAAGAAAATACAAATCCAGTTGCAAATACAGTTTTATATGAACATATAGTGGGAGAGGCGAAGTTCGGCATATCAGCCAGCCAGCATCAGTGAGCTTTGATGAAACAGAATCGTATTTTCTTAAACCAAAAAATAAGTCTCAGACAAGAATTTTGCACGCGTTGTATTTTATCAGACGTGAATTTAGTTAGACATTTGTCATAGACGACATCACAGAAGTTAAAAAGCGACAGAACAAGAGAACTGCATAGTATGACTTTAGTTTTTTGGTTCATGTAAGATTTTTGACCGTATATCGTCTTTAAATTACAATACGCCCTTCAGGAGCACTTGATCCTCAACCTTAAGTTTTTGTCAAGGTAACGGGTGATTTTTTAAGAGGTATAGGATTTGATTTTCAAAAAAAACACAAAAAATTTGAAAAAACGATTGAATCTTAATTTGAGTCGATAGAACGGTCGATATAATTTAATGTTTAAAGATTATTTCATGTAAATGTTGGACGCGGCTCCGCTTTAGATGGCCCATGCGCAAGGTCCAATTTTGGCACACTCTCTCCAACATATCGGCCGGTATCTCACGAATAAATGCTTCAATATTGGCTTCCAGTGCGTCAATCGTCGCTGGTTTATCCCTGTAGATATTAGCCTTAACATGGCTCCACAAGAAATAGTCAAACGGCGTTAAATCACACGATCTAGGCGGCCAATTGACGGGCCCCAAACGTGAGATAAACTGTTCACCGAACTCGCCTCTCAATAGGGCCATTGTTTCGTGTGCGGTGTGGCATGTGGCACCGTCTTGTTGAAACCATATGTCAGCCAAGTCCAGCTCTTCCATTTTGGGCAAACAAAGTTTGTTATCATCGCACGGTAGCGCTCGCCATTCACAGTTACGTTCCGGCCATTGTCGTCTTTGAAGAAGTACGGCCCGATGATGCCACCGGCCCATAATCCACACCAAACAGTGATTTTTTCGGGATGCTTTGGTAGCTCTTGCAATGCTTCTGGCTGGTCTTCACTCCAGTTGCGGCAATTTTGCTTGTTAACGTACCCATTCAACCAGAAATGAGCTTCGTCGCTGAACACAATTTTTCGATAAAAATGTGGATCTTCCTCCAACTTTGCCAGCGCCCATTCACCAAATTGGAAACGTTGTGGGAGGTCGTGTGGCTTCAATTCTTGCACCAGCTGTATCTTATAAGGTTTTACACCCAAATCCTGTCGCAAAATTTTCCACGTAGTGGAGTAACAGAGGCCCAATTGCTGCGAACGGCGGCGAATCGACATTTCACGGTCATCACTAACACTGGCGCATACAGCCGCAATATTTTCTTCAGTCCTCACTCTACGTCTGCGTGTTGGTGGTTTAATGTCCAATAATGTAAACTGGGTTCGAAATTTAGCTTCAGAATAGCTCCCTCAGTAAGCCGACCAAATTGCCCATAAATTGGAAGCAGTGCTCGATGCACTCTCTTAACCGAGCATGAATTTTGATAGTAAAATTCAATAATTTGCAAGCGTTGTTCGTTCGTAAGTCGATTCATGGTTAAATTATAGACCAAACTGTATAAGTTTGACAATGACACAAGACACGATTCACGCGTCATCCGTCAAAAACAGTGTTGCCAAAAAGATACTAGCAAAAAAATCACCCATTATAAGCCTAAATTACGGGCTATCGAGCTTATTTCTAAAGTATTGTTATCGAGGTTTATTTTCACCAGAGGTTCACAATGGTCTCTCCAATTTTGCGGCCCGAATAACATGACTGTACTTTTAGCCGGATTCAAGTCTAAGCATATGTTTCGAGACGCTTTAGTGAGACGATCATGGTCTTTATTTATCAGATCAACAGCAGGCAATGTTTAGGCTGGAGGAAATGATAAGTACGCTTGTGAATCATCTGCATAAAAATGAGCTTTACAAGAGTGAAGGCTGAAGTATAGATTAGAGGCGTAAATAATGAACATTAGTGGACCCAGAATAGAGCCCTGAGGAACACCAATGGCCACTTTCAATGGCGTGGAGTACTTATCATTCAGCATTACCTGCTGTTGACGATCGCTGAAGTAGCTACGCATTAGGGACTCTGGATCGGCCGAGAATCCGTAAAAGTGGAGCATAGCTAAGAGTAGGTCCTGTCAAATGCCTTCGTATACTCTAAGAGCACCAAGGCAGTCAGGTTATCTTTGTCAGCACTGCATAATACATCATCCACCACTTTCAGCAATACTGTTGCACAGCTATGCGCCGAACGGAACCCTGATTGTGTATCTATAATGAGGTTATTCGTTCTTAAGTGTTCTCTTATCTGAACATCCATTATTGATTCAAGCAATTTGGACAATGTTGGCAATATACTAATATTACGCGAATCCTTGAGCTCAGATGGCCGAGCAACTTTAGGCAAAGGCACAATCAAAGCGTGCTTTCAGAAAAAAGGAAAATAGCGACGCAATATAATAATAATAATATTTATTCACTGAATGTACAAAGATAACAAACAATATGAGTAAATAAATATAAAATCAAAACAGGGCCAATAGAAGGCATCGCCTGTACATGGACCAATAATTTAAGTTGAAACTGTAGAATGCAAATGACAAAAAAGGACAAAAATTAGCTACAGTAGATTATGTATTTAGTTGATGTTCGTATTTATGAGTTTATGAATTTCAGTCCTAGATATAGAATGTAGCCATTTTTTTAAATTTCTTTTGAAACAATTTCCGAAACGTAAATCTTTTAAGTCTTTAGGTATAATTTCACAAAATTTAGGCGCTAAATAGAGATATGATCGCTGCATTATAGATTTATGCGGTTGAGGAACTACTGTGCCACGAATTTTGTACCTGGTATAATGATTATGTTTAATTTTTTGGTCGGTGTT